CACGTGATAACATAATACGTCCCCGTCTTCGACGGGCGTATAAAAACTGACCAATCGCTAGGCTGATAAATGTCCTTTGAAGATTAAAAAGGAGAGACGCCCGACTTCAAAGCATGTCAATTTTTACCGTTATGTAAGGATCAAACTAGTCTTCTTGTCTCATCAACAAGGCGGTGCACAATGAGCCTTCAATTTTGCTATGACATATTCCAGGGGTATAGAGAGCGAAAGTTAGCATGACCACTGGATATCGCGGATGAGGTCAGGTTGATTTTGTCATTTCTCAGGCTGTTATGTAATGTAATGCCACCATCATATAAATTGTAGTCATGCCTAAAAAACTGATGCAATCAAATACTTATACAATGTAGCTGTTTTGGTTAAAAATTCAATCCATCACATTTGTATCATGATGATTTTTTTGTTTGCCTCACAATTGTGCTGTAAAATTCTAATTTTGTATGCGGAATAGGTGTTTGTCTCTCTATCTGAAGTTTTCATCTTTCTTTTTTTTTTTTTTTTTTTTTTTGTCCATTTATTTCCAATCTTCGTTTACTAACTTTTCACCACCACCCTCATTGTATCTATCTCACTTTGGTCTATTTCAACAGCTACACTTTGTTAATTCATAAGTCGCCTGTGAGTAAATGTGTAACCCCAGGTCCAGTGTCTGCAAGCATAACTTTATCAACAAACAGATCAAAAATATTGTTTTTAAATTTCTGCCTTTTTATGAACTTTCATTTGTTTTTTGTCCCAGGATATTTCATACATTTCATAAATTACTGGAAAATTTGAACAGACTACTTATTCCGTCTTTGCGTATTGCAGAGCTATCTTCTCTTGACAGCCGGTATTGATTGTTACGTCATTTGTTTTTGAGAGGAACGTCATCAATTTTTGAGAAAACGACGTAATTTTCTCACACAAACAAATGACGTAACAATCAATACCTGCTCTCAAGAGAAGATAACTCTGCAATACGCAAAGACGGAATAGGCTTACAGACAAATGTCCCCTGGAAATCTGTACATTATAACTTAATATTGTACAACTAAACATCAATAAACAGGCTCAAAAATGCAATTGCCCAAAATTAATATTCCATGCAAAGGTCAATGTGACAGGGTATTTTGTTCAGACTATTGCTGGTTCCAGCTTAAACAATATAATTAAATGATTACCAATTTTTTATTTACTATTGTTAATATTTATAAGTAATTAGTATCAGTACATTCCATTCCTTTTATTATAACCTCTTTAAATCAAACATTACACATATCACATGATTTAAGTGCTTTAGTATTGAAATTTGGATAAATTCCCATATACACTTTCTATATTTCACGTCCATTTTCCTTTATTGATAGGTTTTTGATATTTTCTAACATGCAAACATTTCTAACCAACATCATGTAAGGATGTGTCCAGGTTAAAACACTTCTTAGCTATTAGTAAACTCCCTCTTCAGAAAGTGATTTTTAAATTGAAATATTTTCATGAAGGTTTAAATCCTTGTAATTATAAAATTGTCATTACCAGATATTTTTTGTGTTATTCAAATTGAAATTTGGCTCTTTTTCAACTTGTGGGGTTTGATCACTATTATCCATATGTTGTCAAGCGTTTTAGAGTAATTTTACAAATTATAAAGGACGCTATATAAATGTTGTATATTATTATTTATTATTAAGACCAACTGAACAAGGAGCCCAAAATAAACTTCAACATTTTTTTTAATAAATTCTATATTTAACCATGGAACAAATGTGAAATATTTCCTTTTGATTAAATGGGGATGAAACCGTTCTAATAATTTATCCTGTATCCCTTTATATGGAGAATACATTCCACTAGAACAAAGTTTGGACTTTTTTCTTTTTGATTACATTGGGATGTATAGTAAAAGTGCAATATTACATGCTAAGAATTGTACTTGTTAAAGGCATTTAGGTACAATATAGAATGTTAGAAAGTGAAATAAGTTACCGAATCGGAATGGGGTTAAAAAACTGCTCTGGACATCTGAAACATATTAAATTTGTGCGTTTGTTTTTATAGAAAGTGCACATCATATATATTTTTAAAAAAAATATGAAAAATTAGAGAAATAAAGAGAACTGAAGAAATAATATATCATGAAATGAAAGTGTGAAAGCAGTTTAGATGACAATCAGGACAATATTTCTTAAATTTTGTATCGGAAAGATTCAGGCATTAATTTTAACTTGTGATACTATATACCGGGTAATGTTCCTGAAAAAAAATAATTGTACTCCTTGTAAAAACTGAAATTCCAACAGCTTATCCTAAAAAAATTCATGCTGAAATAGTAACCTAACAACAAATGTGTAAATTACAAGAATAAAATTATACCAAAATGTGTGATAACTATTTTGTTTTGAAATATTGAATCAATCACTGAACAAAATTGCGATATTTCTTGCTATATTTTGTTGGGAATTGGTTGATGTGCACAGAATAATATATTGCTTCAGTGTCTAAAGCATACATCACAACAGTACAGCAAGGACATCTTACAAAACAAACCAGCAACTCCACACACCGAGGATATGGAGTATATTACAACAGCGACTAGTGATATATGTTTTATACTACTATATATATACAGGGCTAGAAATTAATTTTGAATACCACTAGTCAACTGGGGTAGTAGTTTCTAATTCTTATTAGTCATTGTGCAAATTCAAAAAACCCAAATTATTCAATAGGATATTAGCAATATCAAATTTAGACTAGTCGATCGGGCTTGCAGTTTTTAGAACCACTAGTCCAGCTGGAGATTTCACTAGCCTCGCCTACCCTTACTGTTTAGCCTTGAGATATCTGCTAGTATTAATGTCTAGAATGGCAGGAATAATTTTTTACATTGTGTCATACGATAGTTACTGTCTTATTGAAAGATTGCTGTCCCAACGTAGCAAAAACACTGGAGAAATCCACTGTAGTTTTTCACACATACAGTAACCTCCCTTTAATTTTAATCAAGATATACTTCGCTAGAGCGATAGTATAACAATCCAGGGTCAAGGTCCAGGGTTGGAATCCAGCTAGTCTGACCCCATTGCACATTTTACAATCGGAACATTGTTGCTGAATATTGTTTTATCTTTATTATTTTTTCATATTAGTTCAACAACATATCCGTTTTTCCCCAGAAATGATCTTTCATTATACATGAGTGCGCACAAATACATGAATATTTACGGTATGGTCATGCCGGGAAAAAGTTCCACATGCATAATTAGTTTTTAATGGCAGTGGTACATGAGGGTCGGTCCTTAAGGATGTATGCTAACAGTTACACTGAAAGGAATCTCCAATTATAAAGAGTTCAACAAAAGTAAAATAGTAATGGTAATATGAACTTAACTAGTGATACACCTTCAATATTTTAGCAAACTTAGTCACAATACAAGGAGTTCAGGTCAAAGTTAATTCTACAAGGAGTTACTTCCCTTTGAATATGCATTATCATTATAACATACAAAAATGTGGATATAAAGGTTATAATATTTGATTCTCATTGAAGAAAAAACACCATCTCAAAGTGCCAGAACACTGAATTATTAAAAACTTGTACCTCATGATACGTGACCCTTTCAGATTATTCTGAGGCTAACCAAAAGTGCCTAAAAATGAGAGAGTAGAAAAGAGAGAAAATTAAAGAAAAGAGTCCTTAGTACTGTGATGGAAGGAGTAGATCAATTTTGACCTCCAGTGTTTGTCGTATCAGAGGAAAATGAGGAAAACACCACAGAAAGCTTCACAGATTTAGCCGCCTCATACAATCATGCAGTGGAATGCAACAGGCCAATGTTTTTCTGACATTGCTGAGAGGGGTGTGAGTTAGCAAACCTGATAACACTGGTGTTTGGTTTGCCTCTTCATATTTGAGCCAGGCTTTAAAAAACACATGGACACTGCGCTGACCTATGTTTCACCAACAGCTATGTTAAAACCAGCAGAAATGTATTGTCAAGATCTATTTTTTCTTCAAACTATATATTGAGTGAAAAATCTTTGTGAGTTCATGGCACCTAGGACCAACCAATGAATATTTATATATGAACCAGTGTAAACTTGACAGTCCAACATCCTATCAATGGAGAAAATAATAATCGACTGACAATCAAGTGATAAGGACATCATATATATACTGAAGAGTCTTACATGTCCCAGAACTTTTAGAATGAGCCAATTTATGTTGGTGCTTTGTGAAAGAAAAAAATTTGAGTCAATAATTTGTGAGGGGAGTGCTTTGTAAACAAGGTCCATGTGAGAGTTTGCTATGAATGATTAGTCAGTGCTTAAGATAGATAACTTTGTGATTGAGTTTTTTGTGATGAGTACTTAATCACTAAATATTTTGAGTAACTACATTACCATTGAGTTCTATGTGAGTCAAATGCAACTCTATGTGATTAAAAGCCATATAAATGAGCATTGTTATTGAGTGAGCGTAGGTCTCAGTAATGAGCCCTGTTAGTCACACCCACAGCAAGTAACTGACTTTGTGAGTACTATAGGTTGACACAACTAGCCAACTCGAAAATGTGAGCTCTGTTAGTTACTAATCAAACTCACAGCGAGTTACAGTGAGTACGTAGCCAACACAAATAGCCAATCATGGGTTATAAGTGTGTAAGCACTAGGCAAATACCAAGTCAGCCCAACTCGAGGCTCTTACATGTATGCCTGTGATGGGCTTGCCACAGCGATCATGCCTGGACTTGTGGCAACCCTTACAAGGGAAGAAGTGGCATGCCGGGGTTGACTTTTAGATCTACAGTACCTTGCGGGCAGCGTGCTACCGTGGCTTTTCTCCCCCTCCGATGATGGCACCTCATCCATAATCTCTGTAACACCAGAACCAGTAAAAGTGGCTGTATATAATGATGTACTTTAGCGGAAAACAGCGACATATATTTATAATGTGAAACAATATTAATATACTTTGGATCGGTAAGATCTTTCATATTATTGATTATTTGAAATAATTGAATAACAATTTTTTTCAAGTTCAGAATCCCATGAATTCAAATTTTGGATGCTTACTTTGCTGATCGAGCATTTTGATTTATATAAAGACTTCTTAGAATTTAGTGGAGCTTATTGTACAAATTTAAATGAACCTTTTGAATTGAAATTAACAACTTTTTTTTAGCAGATGAGTATAGAAATGAATAACTTTACAATGTTTAAAGCTTTACTCTTTGTATCGCATCTTTTTTTGTATAATGTAGACTATTTTTTATTTAATGTCAGAGGTAAATATTTGACAGTAAGAAACACAGAACTATGACAAAGTCTTAAAGATTTCTATTTTACATGATAGATTTCTATTTTACATGATAATGTATAAAATTTTGTAATAAGTTTAGACGCAAATTGGACCTGGTCCTGACGTTAAAGCAACTTACTAAGTTCACTGATGTCTCCAGCACTGCCAAACTTGTTCTTGATGAGGTGAGCGAACTCCTTGGGTTTTGACACGATGGTACTGAGAAACAAAACAAAGGGTAAAATTGCAAAATAATAAATACTAAAATCAGATTTTTTTCATATTCCTAAATACTTTTCAAATGTGTGCATTATTTAAGGTTTCCATGTAATTTTGATCTGATTGAGTGATTAACTCATTCACCCTTGATGACACATTTGAACTCCTCCAATTCAAAGGTTGGAATAGTTCATTATGAAATTTCAGGGGTGAATGAGTTAAGAATGCTCTTCAAAATGAGAATAATCAGAATGGTCTAATCAATATAGAGTTTACCCCTCACTACAGCTTTTTTAACACTTCATCTCATTTTAGGTTAGGTCTGCATTAAACCCCCAAATTATATCTATGCATCCACAGATTGTAAGAATGAAATATAAGGAGAAATAGCGGCACTAGTGTGGCAGACTCAACATTTAACCTCAACCCCATATTTACCCTGCTTCCTATTTTGTTTAAAAGTTAAATCTAAGTTCTGTTTTCTATGTCCTAGGCTCGGTTATAAATGTAACAAGGACGTAAAGCCCCATCAATCAATCAATCAATGAGTCCATCAATGAATCACTCAATCAATAATCAATCAATCAATCAATCAATCAAGTGTTATGATAACACCCGGGGTGATTAACAGAACAAATATGGTATGTATATACTGTAATACTTACTCTTTGGCACCTTTGATATTATCCACTACACCCCTGGAAAAAACAAAGAGAAATGGTATTTACAAATTAAAATCAATTAAAAAATATTGTTAAAATAAATAATAATATATGGGAATTAAAACGGTAACGAAGCAACTTTTTTAATTTCATTTGAATTATTTGCACCCTGGTCTGCAGTCAATGATCCGTTTCACTGATACTAAGTTCACAATAAACACAAAACATGATAGGGGAAAAAGATCTGAAAGTCCTTACATCTGGGTCCAATCTGTTACGTAAGAAATTTGCGAATAAAATCTGTTAGAAAATTATAACTTTGATCAATGGTGAAAACTCCTTGGCAAACTCAATGTAATATCATGGAAGAAAGGATTGCAAGACAATAATACCTTGAAATAAAATTCTAATATCTCAGCTGTACTGACAAACAGTCTGAAATACTTTGAAGTCAAATAAGGCTAAAAAAACTGCCTGAAGCTTAACAAAAAAACCCACCAAACAAGAAAATAAAACAAATAAAAATTAAAATAAAAAGAACATACGCAATATAAACCATTTGACAGCAGAAACCTAGTAAGTCTGACCTTTGACCTTATGAAATACCAGAATATTAGCAGTCTGGCTAAATCTTCAACTTCCAGGAAAATTACATTTGTTTTAAATGTCAAAAATGTCAAGACAAAAACAAAAGAAGGTTCCAATCTGCTTAATGACATCAAATAGTAACAACCAAGAAGAAACCAATGCTCCAAAAAATCCACAAAAACTGAAGTGTAAGGGAAGCCAACTTAAATAAATACGGGAATTCAAAGAAAGTGGATGTGTCACCCAACCCCCAGGGCTGCATGATCATGTTTATTTTCAGTTTTGGTATAAAATCAAACGGAGAGATGATCTGCCATCTTGCGAACTATGAATACTATCAGGTCTCCACCCCCTGGATCACTACCACCTTATTGGAATTGACCCCATTGCAGGGACGTCGGGTCTCTATATAGCTCCTCTACACCTTACATTTACATCATCACTTCTAACCCAAAATGTTTAAATAAAACCTTTACAAACCAAAAACTGGAAAATAATAGCATATTAACACCATCAGATTTAACTCGCAAAATAACTACAGAAATTTGTCAATAACTAAAAAAACAACAAAAAAATCACATAACAATAACAGTTCAAGCAGTCAACAAACCCAGACAAGGGGAGATAGGGGATGTAAAAGGTGACGGACAATGGATTGTACCCTCATAAATCATGCAAAATTCATGACATATGACAGAAAAACAAGAAAGTCATACATACCGATTAAATAATTACACTTTTGTTTGTGAAATCAAACATGCATTAACCAAGAGATTCAAGAAGAACGTTGGTAACCTTATCAAAAGATCATGGAGTGCTGCTGGTACTTAATGTATGTATATAGGTTGCTTTCTCTGTTTTTTTCTTTCCTTGAACAAGCACAATTGTCACTAAGTTACCAAGGAGATCATGCGAATCAAATACTAACATGATCGTTCTGGGGCGTGTTCTAAGCTAGATTATCTGATTCATCAAGTTTCAACATGATCCCTTAGGTATTTCCAACAAAATTTTATAACAATCTTCACACGCATACTCTAAAGATTGCTGACATTCTGCTTATCTGATCTGTCTCAAACTGAACCATACACAACAACAGACCTAGGAGATCACATATACCAAGCTTTACCATGATACCTTCAGCAGTTACATAGAAATAGCAGTTACAAACTTCACATGCAAAATGCAAGATGACCGCCCTGCTGCCATTTTGTTTTTATGATCAATCTCAAATGAAAGCATGCACAACTATATATGGACCACAGGAAACATGTTTGGAGATTTCAGTAGTAGGGAAAAAGCAACAACAAACAATTGAATTGTTCACAAAATAACTGTCTGATGATGGCAGGCTAAACATACTATTAATTAAAAGGGAAAACATGAAGAAGAATAAAGTGAAACAATCAAAGCACGTTTTTCCAAAATCAAAAACCTCCACCAAATATTTTCCGCTTAAATAATCGGTGTGAGCTTTATTCCCAGCCCTAACAGAGATTCTGTAGAATCTCTAAACCCAAGTTTGTTCTCACCAAGAAGGCTTAGAACCATGTTTTTTCCAAACAGAACGCCATAGTAAAGGTCTGTAAAAGTACAATATTACGCTTAGTGTCAGAGAAAGACCTCAATGTGATGTTATCAGGGGTTATCTGACCTTGAGGTAGGGCAAGATGTTTGTTAAAAGTTAAAAATAAACAGGTTGAAAATGGGACTAATCACTTAAAACTCCTAACACACAAATGTACTTTCACAGGTTTTCATCTTAAAGAGTAAAAAAAAAAAAAACTTTTACATCATGTCATTTGAGTTTATTCAGATTGATGTAATGTAAGCTATTAATTCAAAACTTATTTACTGTTAGCTATTTCAGACAGATGATATGGAAGTTAATTCAAAACTGAGGTGATGTGAGCTTAATTCAGACAGATGTTTTGTGAGCTAATTGAGACAGATGTTATGTGAGCTAATTCAGACAGACGTTATGTGAGCTAATTCAGACAGACGTTTTGTGAGCTAATTCAGACAGATGTTGTGTGAGCTTATTCAGACAGATGTTATGTGAGCTTATTCAGACAGATGTTATATGAGCTAATTCAGACAGATGTTATGTGAGCTAAGATGTTATGTGAGTCAATTCAGACGGACACTACATGAGCTTATTCAAAACTTATGTAATGTGAGTTAATTCCAGAATCAAGAACAGAAAATACATCTATACATCAGTTAACGATAGGTCAGCTATATATTTACACATAAGGAAAGTATGATGCCTTTAACTGTGACCATTAATACTTACTTAAGTCCCTGGCCCATGTCCCGTAGAACTTCCCTCGCCTGCTTATGTCCAGACACACCATACGTTTCTATATCACTTAAACGTTTATGATAGTTCTCCAGTTTTTTCTGGAGGTGACTAATTGTCTGTGTGGATTTCTGATTTTTCTTCTCAAACATTGTTTTAATCCGCTGTAACTGTTGTTTGTCAGCACCAGTACTGGCAGCAAGCTTCAGGTATTCGTTGACATTTTCTGTAGAAAGAAGAATATATTATTTTTACCAATAAAAACTCTCTGTCTTTTGTTCTATTTTTTATATTTAATTCCAACACAAGGACTTCTCAATGTTTTTTTTATTTTTACCATATATTTACATCTCTCCCTTCTTCAGCTTTGTAAACTCTGACTGCCTATAAATGAACACCATTACAATTTGTTCGTTGCCAACTGCGTTTATACTACCGTGTATGCCATCAAAATAGAGGTCAAACCTTATATATACAATAGCATCAATATTCTTCTGAACTATATTTTTGACAGTATATCCCATTTTTATGTTTTTCAACCTTGTTTCAATAACGTGGGAAAAAAGGGGAAAAAACAAAGAATTATCTCCACCTTCTTTGGCAGCTTGTTCCGCCTTGATCATCTCCATGGTTCGGCGTATTTTGGCCTGAGTCTGTTCAATGGCGGTTTTGGTCCTGAGTGGGTCATGGGTATGAGTGTCTGTGGGTGTGGGACCGTCCATTTCGTCCATCCCTCCCTCCCCACTGCTCCCATTTTCGCGACTGCTCACTTCCACCTAAGATACCAGAAAACATTGACAATGAAAGTTTAATTTGTATCCAGCTCAAATTCTTAACAAATTTTCACTTATATATTAGTTAAATTTTGAGTACTCGTAAAAGATTCATACTTTTGTAACATCAGTTTGTGATGACGGAGCTTCTGAACCAACTGGTCCTGATGTCATTCTTTCCTAATTACCTTTTAATATCTTTTTGTATGAAATTTTGAAATAAGATTTCATCACCATTATTAAGATTTTCAGGTGGTTTTTTTGCAGCTTAATTTCAAATTTCCATTTTTCTCTATTCACTACCTGGGTATCTCTTAAAATAAAATAAACTAGACATCGGAAAAATTGCCTGTTTACTCATTTATCAGCATCATATGAGAGAAAAAGAACTACAAAAGGGAGATAATTCTGATCACTCACACTGTCCAGGTCCTCGGTACTGCTGCGCAGCATCTGTTGCTGGTCGTCCGTGTACGGGACCCCCAGATTAGACCCTGCTCGTGGCTTCGTTGTTGCTGCACTCATTGCCTCCTGGGAAGGGGTCACCGGGTGCTTTTTGGGCAGACTAGGACTTTTAGAGACGCCTTTCTTCTGAAGGCCCTTTAATGCTGGTATTTTACTGGCATCTGACTTTTTCCTAAAATCAAAAAAAAATCTATATTATATAGACAAATATATCAGATAAACAATGGAGGTGAAAGGTCGCTGTAGATAGATTTATATAGAGATAGTTACATATGGGACAAGGCAGTGATTCCAACAGTGTCCATTATATGTCAAACTTCCGGAGCAATCAACTCCTTAATGGTTATAGTCATATAGGTATTATAGAAAGCTCATATAATGGTTAACTTATATATCGATGATTTCCAATATTTATTATAAATATAGTCTATCTGTATACATGTTTATTAGTTCTGTTTAACACGAAGAAAATAGAAATTCTGTTTAAAGAAAACTAAATATAATTTCTGTATCAAAATTGATTTGATTTGAAGTTAGAGTTTATTTATGAATTACCTGGTAGGATTTTCAGAAAGAAATAAACACAAATAATTTGTGACATTAACTTCGGGTGACTGGGATTGTACACAAAACTGATACTGTAATCAACACACTGGACATTACATAACCAGATACTGTAATCAACACCTGGGGAGCTGATAACAATAAACCATGAATCATGATTTTTTTATAAAATGATTAAACTCTGACAAACAGGACACCAATCAATGTAAAATCTCGTCCCAGACAAATTATAACTCGGGGATACCAGACCAGACTCCTGACTCACAGAGTGATTCACCTAACCCAACAGCCAGCTCATTCACAACGCTTCATTTTCTAAACTCTAATCTTAAAACTACCTCATCAAACTTAAATTACAATAAACTGATCTGAAATTATAAACTTTGTATAACAGTTTTAATAACCAACTCACTTGTCTAAATTAGAATTACAGGGAATATCTAAATTTGTAATAATTAACCAGATGAATTTCTAACTTCCCTATAGTTACAAATTGTTATCTTGCAATTAAAGGATATAGGTGAACTTTCAAAAATAATTAAAACTTCATATTTATCATTTATGAATATAAGCTTTCAATGATGAAAACGAAAGCTGACATTTTCAGTTTTGTACAAGAAATCCCAGAAACGATGATTGAGATCACACATATAAGCCATTCATATGTCAACACCTAATAAAGATTGGAAGAGTTGATCAATCCAGTAAATAAAGGACAAAGAAAGCATCAATGCTTTTGCTAATTAAATCCGGTATCATCAGTTTTAGGAGAAAGTAAAAAAAGAATTATAGGTCACACATGTAGATCAATACACTATAGTAGACCAAACAGAAAATCTAGTTTAGTAATCAGATCCCATCACACACTTTATCAAAATCACATGCACACGTTTGTCTAAGAACTTAAATGTAAATATACATGTACAATCAAACCTGCATTGAAAACCAGAATCATCCATCTTAAATTGGACTCAATAATTGGTATATCAATGAGCTACTGTAATTACCTGTGTTAAATTGTCTACAAAACTTATCATCTGATCCATTGATCTCACGTGTTCCCCTCCTTTTCTATAGTGAACAATGTTAGATTGTTTGCTGTATAAGTAAGGAAACATTACCAGATAGATACTTAAGGTGCTTTGACTTAGGTAAACCAGAAGCACTTTTTGTAAATCTTTAAGCAGAAGAATTTTGTTATCAACAAAATCCCTGCTGAATATTTTATAAACTTGACTTGCTGAAGTAGACGCCTGCTATTGTCGTTTACCCTATCACACAACAGTACATCTGATTAATTCTGTCATTAGTTCTTCAAGGCGATTGATTTTCTCTGAGCCGCAAGCACACATACGTTACCAAGTAATCATCCACATCGAACAACACAGGTCATGTGACCTGATCTCATAGCCTCTGAGTTACATGAATGAAACAAAAAATGTGTTACAGGAATTTGTATATATCATACCATATTTCCTCAATAACAACCCCCTATGCTATTACATGTTTTCTCAATAACATCTTTCACTATTACTATGTCACCCTGTTGAAATACTAGCTGCTTTCCTACTGACTTGGCTGGGGAGAATTGATCTTAAGCTCATTAATGGTAGAGTGTAAGACTAGTCAACCAGAGGTTCTGGGTTCGACTCCTAGCGGAGGCAATAAGTATGCTATGGACCAGTGAAGCACAGTGGTATAACACATCAGTCTAAAGCCTGAATGACTAGGTTTGAATCTCACTAACAACAGAACAAGACACTTTATATATGTGTTGCAGTGTCCACTCGAACTACCAAAAGATGTGTATGATGTGGAAAGGTTGGTGATAACAGCACCTGTGCTGCAGTATATTTAAGTGGTAGTTGTCACTATAAATGAGCCCTTGGAAACACTGACTCATAACAAAGAGAACACAAATACAACCCCCTGCATTCGCACATATGGAGGCAGGGTAGGTACATATAGTGTAGGAAGTGGTAAACACTGGTGGCAGAATGGGACTGGGTCGATTTACGCCAGCAACCGTGTTGCTCAATTCATTAGAGCGTTTGTCTAGAATTCAGAAGGTCTTAGGTTTGAATCTTCTTTTACAGTGGTGCAGTTACATGTACCAAATCTTATTTTCAGTATTGGGTGTCAAATGCTTGTGACGAGAATACCTTCTGGGGCAAAGACTCAGTACAAGGAGGAGGAATTGTTGCACAACTGGAAATGGTAACCACTGAAAACCTGAGCTAGCTCATACTGTTAGAGCATCCGTCTATAGTATGGAGGGCCTGGGTTCAAATCTCTCAATTTCTGGGGGAGTGGGGTTTGGAGTTTCCTATTCCAAGACATTTCAATGCTATTTAAAATCCATCTTGTGGATGGTGTCAAAATGAATACCACATTGATACATCTAAGATACTTTTAATATTCTGATGTATCGAGTACAAAGTACTTTGTGCTTTTCCATTTTACTTCGAAACTATAACTTATTAACAACGATTTGTTTTTAAACCTCAAAAGAGACAGACCATTTCTATCTGTATTGAAAAACTGTTTTTTGTTGTTGACATGTGTGTTTATAAGAATAGATACGGTAGACCAATCCTCTTATTGTGTCAGATTTACTGTCAGCTGGTCCTATGATATACATACAGCCTTCCAATAACTATTCACTTACTCACTGTTGTCAGCACTGCAGCTAGCTAGCTCTCATACTTCCAAAAACAATTCTGTTATTGAATTTGAAGGTAATTTCTGTCAAGCGTTTCGCAGAAAACAAATTTCTATAAGATAGATATCGACTAAGCCCTTCCTTGTTGGTTTGTGAGTGCAATCTCAGTCATTTTAAGAGATTTGTTTCCTGAATCATTGTTAAAGCTGATATTCCATATTAAGGAAAATCATGGAGTATAATTCCCAAGTGGCTTTGGGTAATACACGGGTGTTTTATACAATAAACTGATAACAGTCCAATAGTGTAAAGTGTTTGCTGTCTATTTTTAATATACTTCAAATACGGTTTAAACAGCATTTTTTTAACTTCATGCCAGTATGAACACAAATCGGTTACATACATATTCAACTTCCTAAGGGTGTCTTTTGCTCAGGAAATAGCCAGAAATTAATTTTCATTCACCACATTTATTAGAATGTTTTCCACTTTGGAGAGAAAGACAAAAATTATAACACATGAATAACATTCTTCAACATCCAGCTTGGTTTCTGTTGTTGACAACTAAAAAGAAACCAACATCACTGCAGAGATTTGTTGACAACAGAAAAGACATCAACATCACTACAGAAATTTGTTGACATCTAAAAAGACACCAACATCACTGCAGAGAACTGTTGACAACAAATATGACATCAAAATCACAGCAGAGATTTGTTGACAACTAAAAAGAAACCAACACCACTACAGATATTTGTTGACAACTAAAAAGACACCAAGATCACTGCAGAGATTTGTTGACAACTAAAAAGACACCAAGATCACTGCAGAGATTAGTTGACAACAGAAATGATGCCAACATCACTGCAGAGATTTGTTGACAACTAAAAAGACACCAAGATCACTACAGAGATTTGTTGACAACTAAAAAGACACCAAGATCACTGCAGAGATTTGTTGACAACTAAAAAGAAACCAACACCACTACAGAGATTTGTTGACAACTAAAAAGACACCAACATCACTGCAGAGATTTGTTGACAACAGAAATGATGCCAACATCACTGCAGAGATTTGTTGACAACAGAAATGACACCAACATCATTGCAGAAATTTGTTGACAATGGAAATGACACCAACATCACTGCACAGATTTGTTGACAACAGAAATGACATCAACATCACTGCAGAAACTTGTTGACAACTAAAAGACACCAACATCACAGCAGAGATTTGTTGACAACATAAATGACATCAACATCACTGCAGAAATTTGTTGACAACGGAAATGACACCAACATCACTGCAGAGATTTGTTGACAACAGAAATGACATCAACATCACTGCAGAAACTTGTTGACAACTAAAAGACACCAACATCACAGCAGAGATTTGTTGACAACATAAATGACATCAACATCACTGCAGAAATTTGTTGACAACTACAAAGGCACCAACATCACTGCAGAAATTTGTTGACAACGGAAAAGACACCAACATCACTGCAGAGATTTGTTGACAACAGAAATGACATCAACATCACTGCAGAAATTTGTTGACAACGGAAAAGACACCAACATCACTGCAGAGATTTGTTGACAACATAAATGACATCAACATCACTGCAGAAATTTGTTGACAACATAAATGATACTCTTCATTGCAGAGATTTGTCAACAATTGAAATTAGCATCAACATGCATACATCACAGCAGAGATTTGTTGACAACAGAAATGACACTCTTCATTGCAGAGATTTTTCAATAATAAATTCAACATCAACATCACTGCAGAGATTTGCACTAAAATTTCCTGGAATTTCCTTGCCTTGGAAAGCCTTTTTCATAACATCAAAAATGTTCAACTGAGTTGAAAATTTTCAGTCTATTAATCAAACAGGAGTTACAGATTCTATTATTTACAGAAGTGCACAGCTGTTATAGCTTGATGGAAAAAACATGTCAATAAATATATTTTTAACTGACACAAAAAACAACATAATTAAAAAGTAATTCTGTGAAGACTTGGTCATCAAAACTAGCTAAATGCAGATCTTGATATTTCTTAAATACTTGATCTCAACACTGCATCTGAAGCAAAATATATAAACTGCAAGGATAAAAATGTTAAGTTTAAGCTTACATGTTGAGTTATTTTTGTAATGAAGAATTTAAAGGTGAAATATAAGGTTTAACACATGTGTTGTTAGAGTTTAACAATATAGAGTTGTGTGTTAGGAAATTAAAGAGTGACTTTATGTAATGTGAAGATATACAAGTCACCAATAATAGAGGTGCAAGTTAAAATTGAAAAATTCTCAAAAAAGTGGAATAGAACAATTAAGTGAATCTTTTGTAAAACTTTTGTATGTTGTAGATTATCTCAGGTATTTCCTAGGACATACTATGGTTGATACATTTTGTAACATTGTTTTAATATAAGTGATGGCATTCATCAAGATGCTGCATTTTCACTCTAAATCAATTCTTATGTCACCTTGTGTGTTCTACCTGAACTCTCTATTCCAGAGGTGTACAATTCCACTAGCCCACCACCCGGGCTAATAACTAAGATGTTTTATTGGGGCTTGTGAAAATTTTCAACATTTAGTTTGAAAATAAAGGTCAGCTAAGCAGAACTTTTTAAATCAAAACTGCAGGCTATTATTCTAAATATGAAAGTGTTCACCCCTGTATTATAGTCGAATTTTTCCTGAAGATGTAAATTCAATAATAAAGCTCATAAACCTACAACAGAACACTTCTGGCTTAACTGAAAAAAAGTAAGTAGAAAATAATGACATACATTTCATAATTATGTTTCTATGGTATGGAAAATGTAAAAATAGACAATGTCCTCCTGCCTCGAGATCACAAGTGGACAGTCCAAATTCTTCATCCCTACAGATCGTCATTAGGACAGCCCAAATGCCTCAACCCTACAGATCACAATAGGATAGCCCAATCACAAAGTACAGGGGCCTGTTCGTTTATGGGGAACAACCGGTTTTTCTATAAATCCTGGCAGACCTGCAAATATTTATGCAAGCCTTGCAAGGCTTTGTCAAGGCTCATCTGAAAGCAGCATCAGATAACAAAGTCGAACAATTCTGCTCCAACCGGTTCAACCTTTTGTATCGCAATAAACGAAAGCGGCCCAAGAAAGTCTACAGTTCTGGTCCCACATTCATGCTCGAACTTGGATTATGTGATGAGCTTAATTCTTTAAGTGAACAACATGAACAGTGTGAGAAGTTAAACATTTATTTGTAAGGATGATGAGAATGACTTTCTGGAATTAAGTACTACTTTAAGTTTGATAAAATATTTCATTTTTAACAAGATCACATGAAGATGTTGTTAATAGAAATGGTCTCTGCAAAACAAATCCTCCACAAAATTATATTTTGTATAAACAGTTAGAGGACAGTTTTAATTTAGAGTTATTTCCCTTCCACAAGAGCATTTTTCAGAATCCCACCAATTAGACTTCCTCTTCTGTGTCACAATAAGTAACATCATCAGCGACAATCAAAAAACAATTCTGTCTTCAGGTACACATTCATCATGTACCAGTGTTTGATCAAATTATAAAAATCATGCCGTAGTTGATGATTGTCAGGTGAAGGTGAACATCAGATGTCAGAAGAGGAAGTTTAATACATGGCCATACGGATATAACAGAGTGATGAAAACACTTTGAACCAGCACTGAACATCAGGGGTAAGCTAAACACAGACAGGACCACATACAGGATCTGGTATACAAAATACACTTAAAGGGAATGATTGCAGTTCAACTTGTATTATCATCTGACCCTACTGTTTAAAAAAATCACTACTCTTACTTGTATAATGAATCATTTCTATTCAAGATACTTTAAGAATATATCATGTTCACATTTTCCCCAAAAATATTTAGAAACATAGTTTTTTTCTTTACTTATACTTATGAATGTTTTCCTTTATTTCTGACAGAAGTTTTTTTTATTACTGATATATATTACTAAAATAACTGTTCTGCTTGTGTCAAATTTGTCAAAATGATTATGCAATAAAACAGAGGAATAATTTTAAATAGATTTTATAATATGAAATAGAAACAATTTTAAATGACATTATTATCTGAAATTAGAACAAAATATATACTTTAACTGACAAAATATATTCAAAGAGTGAAAGAAAGAAAAATCACAACACTGCAAAAATTATGTACTGCAAGGATAAAAGGAGAGAATTTGTTCTGTCAAATGAAAATTGAAAGAAAGCTTAACTTCAAACTTAAAAAAATAATTAACATATGCCTACAGACTATATTCAAGCACAATAATAGCAATTAATCTTTTAATTGGTTGATATTTTTTCAAATAATTCATCATCTTTTTCCATCTCTTTTAAAAATTTGAACTTTTGACGATAAAAATTTCCAGATTTCGAAAAGTTCAAAAACCTTGATTTTTCCCCCTACACATAGAGAAATGACTATTAATTTGATTGATTCATAAAAGGAATCGATGATTTTCTCCAGAATAATGTATGTAATAACTATAACTATAACGTTTATAAATTTTGCACAGATACAGAAATGTAGTTGGGCAGCACATGAACAACACATTATGCGTTTTACCAGGATACCACAGTAAAGTCACAGACTTACTTCACTGCACAGGGTCCATAATGTCTTGTTTATATATAAAAGCAAATTCCTGAATATATGGTAGCTCTTTTTCATAAAATGCATGGCATATCTTGAATACATATGAAAGCATTAGGAATGCGGGTTTAGCCAACAAATGTATCCTGGTTTAGCCGGTTTTATTTCTAAGGCTTGCTAGAGACTACTGAATTAAAATAAAACAAATTTTCTTGGAGGAAAGAGTTTTCAGTTGAGTAAAAGATAGATTAGAATTTTCTAAAAATCAAATGGTAATAAAACTATCTATTTCCAAAAATCCAAATATTTTTATTGTTATAAAGTTGAATCAAATATGAAATACAGTAAACAAATATTGCTTCTTTGCTAATATAATAAATGTAATACTTCCTGTAACATTTCTAATTTTGTTGTCAAAAGTGTTTACAATAGATTTTTCAGGAATACAATAATGAAGTATAAGATTATTTTTTTTAAAATTCAATTCAAATTTTCTAATGATTCTGAAAATAGAATGCATATAACAAGCATTAAAGGTTTTGGGTACTTTAAGGTGATTGTCGGAGGGGAGAAGGGGCCAAACATAGGGTAATTCTGGTGGTTTTTTCAAGAACAGATTTCTTAAAAATTGACTCAACCGACCAAGGCAGATCCAGTCTGAATGGGTGATGACATATGATACTTACACATTGGTAAGTATTAGAGCTGGCAAATAATGAAATCAGGCTGAACGATTATCATTATCTGTCACCGATACAGCTATGTAGGTCACAGAAATGGATTCAAATTGATCTAGTGGTTATTTTTAACCATAAACAACATAAGCTATTTTATCAAGATTTAAAATATATCATATTACTTCTACTAAAGCAGACGTTCAGCTAAATAATGCCTCAAGATTGTCAATATATTTTTTGTTTTTGTACATATGACAGGTGGTGACTGAATAACAAATCGAGGTTGCCTTGCATTTGGTTATGGAAAAAAATCCATATCATGGTCAAGCGTACAATGGTGAAGTAGGGAGACAGTGTCTTGTGAGCGTAGCACACCTGATGTTCATGCTTTTTCAAATGGGAAACAGTGGCTATAGAAACAATGAAGCAGATATCTGGCCTAGGGTTATGCGACTAAATCAAACTGAAAGCGTTACCATAGTTACCTGTAGGGAAAGCTTGATCGCCTCCCTTGAGACGACATTACAATTTTTGTCTGACTAGAAATAAATGATTGACATTAATTTTTTTTCTCTTTTTTTTCTCTTTCTACTTTTAAGTTTTGCATGTTTGTGACATGCCTGAGTTTAAAAATAGAAATGACTTAGCATAGTCCTTAGAAAATGGGATTTTTTTGTGACGTGGACATTTTTCAAAAGTTTAATTTGATGGAAAATAAACATTCATATATGAAAATATATGAAGAATTTTTTTCATCACCTTGAAATTTTATCAGGATTTTTTTTTAATTTACGCTACCATTAATGGAGCAGAAATGCAAAAATTTCCACTCACAAAATATTGTATTTATAAACCAGAAGGCAAATAATAGGTTGAGTATATTTTATATTTAATATATAATTAAAAATAAAGTTGAATGGCTTCATATGCCAGAAAAAAATCAAATAATATCAAACAAACTGTATCAGTTGAACATTTTTTGAAAAAATGTAACCATATTGCAATAACTTTGTAACATTTTTAACGAAATTACGGTATGTGTAAGACCTTATGCCTTTTGGTTTCAATTCCAATTTCCTACAACGAAAATATGAGCTTTCACTTTAAAAAGAAAAAAGAAGAAAGCTCAGACTTTAGACGGACCAAGTTAAGCTATAGACAAGTATATTGCCCATCACAATCATTATTTTCTTAAATCTTGTAGACCGTTGTGAAGGTTCGTCTTGCATGAATTAGTAAGAATATAACAGAATACTTTAACTCATTCACCCCTTCATATTTAAACTGGACTTGCCCAGTGTTTGATTTGGTAAGGTTCAAATGTGACTCAAGGGTTGAATGGCCATGGGTTAATAATATAGATTTTCATAACAGTCTTTTTTTAAACCCTTTTTAACGTATTCATAAAGATTTTTTTCTTTTCTATTAACAGAATTTCAAAGAACTTGATAAAAAAAATCACAAAAAAATCAATTGTTTACTGGTATTTGAGAGGACTAGTAAGATTATCAAAGCTACTTTGACTGAACATTTCAATTCTATTATTGAGGGGTTTTTCACCTGGATAAAGAAGAGCTTATTGAATGTTCTAGAATACATATTGTAAATAAAGTATATGAAATATGAATTAAATGTAGCAAAGGAAAAGAATATGACAGGAATAAACACAATTTATTGTATAATCAATATGACAATTATATGACGTTATATAGACACAAATATATAATTTCTACTGATTAAAATACATAAATTACAAATTGACACCAAGAACACAATTACTAATACTGAGAAGTTTTCAAAAAATTAATGTATAACCATAAATGATATTTATAACTCAAATATATTTGCAAATTATCATTTTTTCTATAATTTGTGGAAAAGTGCCAACATGGAGCCAAATAAATAATGCTATGTTTAAAATCTCTAATGCTGTGGTCTGTGTTGAGCAATGATTCAATGCTGTGACATTTTTTTTATCAACAGTTAGGTTTAAAACCAATTTATATATTAATATTCAGATTATTGTAGCGATCAATTAATGTAGATATTGTCAATATTTGTGCAACTAAAAGCTCATTGCCAGTGGTAAAACACTAAATGGTTTAACTGAATTCATTCTCAGCAGATTTAACAAAAACACTCGCGAATATTAAGTACATCTTCCAAAATATATTGTATGAAAAGTATAGGCAACATGATTTTTCATGTGATGGAAGATATACCCAATATCAAAAGCAAATGTGATGGGATGACAAGTGATTGGTCAGAAGTTTTGACCATAAGGTGACCACTCTATAACATCAGTAATTATTAACAGCTGACCAATGAGTGACACACACGAATACTTAATATTAAAATAAATCTTAACTTTAACATGCCTTAATTAATCACCTCATCATTTAATAGGATTTAATAGGATATTAGTGGATGCAGGCATTACTGCCTCTATATCCACAACAATATAGTTTGGAAATTCATTGTGGTAAACAAAAAATAAGCCTATATATAAGGAGCTGTATGATCGTACTTCAACTCAAGATATTTCCAGAATTTGTCCAAGTTTTTCTAAAGTCAAATACGACATTTAATTGTTATTTTGAAAATTTCACCTTATATTATTAAGATATTTTTAATAGATATGAAGTAACCTGACGTTTTTTCATTCTTAAAGTCACAGGGGGTTAAAGGTTCATGATTATGTTACATAATATTGTCTTTGGTTGATTTTGTTTTTGAGGATGTAAGGGATGCATTACTATTTCATTTTCCTCAACTTCGGGAAAAAAATCTTATTTCAATAATAATGTTTGAAAGACATCTTCACCTTCTGTCTTCAGTAACTTTGTGCGGACAACATACATTGTTTTCTTTTATTCTCAGAAATAGAAAAAAGAATATAATATTGCATTAATATCTGTTAGTGGTGTAAGGAAGAATATGGTTTATTTATATATTAATTATCAAATTTAAGAATGGAAAATTAATTCTAATTTTCAAGATTGTAGGAGATTAATAACTTCACATGAAGTTCCATGATGCATATGATGACTTAAAATTTCCTAAATTTGAAACATCTTCGCATTGTGTAAGACATATTACTCAGGGACACAGATCTAGAAGTTTATATAGATTAGATGTGTAATTTCAGAGTCGACAGGACAACTATCATTCTTTAATTCTACTGAGGTCAGAGACAACTTACATTTTCGTGTGTTTGCGACTGCGACTCCTCAGAGGCAGTAACAGACCCAGTAGGGAGCTGTTTGACTTGGACTCGACTTTAGTGACATTGGAAGGACTGTTCACTGGGTCCGGTAACGTTCCATCTGGCACCTTGTCGCAGGTAATGATCAGATCTGGAAAACACCAAATTTAACGTACTATGGAAAACTGTGTAAAAAGTAAGAAATTAATATTACCTAATTTCTTTGCAACAAAAACTGGAATCAATGTAATTTTAAACCTGGTGTTACTTTAACAGTATCAAACAGAACATATATGTCATTACAGAGATGCTTGTCAAATGTGTAGCCATCAAAATGTAATGCAAAAAAACTTGTAAAAAGTCAGACAATAAACATATGCAAAGCCAATACAAATAGACAAAAACTGATTCTTTTTCCAAAAACAGAGATAAGAGACATCACACATTGGTAAGTCTTGTGTTCCTGAAACTAGATTTTGATCCATACTTGGATTTTTACTGAGTGGGAGTACATGAAAACGTATTTGCTTTCCACTCCTGATCACATGTGATATTTTTTAGCAGGAAACAGTCTTTTATAATGCGATGACCATTTTGATTCCTGGATGAAGATTATCAACACCTCTCTGTCCATTACCTTTAGCTTAAAGCAGCTTTCATAACAAGGTAATGCACTAATCATTGTATCTCCACTCCATTAAGGTTCTACATGAGGAATTAATCGGTTACCATGGTAACAACATCAAGGTACGTGTAATTAATACAGGTGGGCAGGCTGAAGCAATTAGCGAAAAGTCGCTTTGTTATTATATCGGTATAGAAGTCGGATTGTTACTATTCTAGAGGACACCGTCTAGAATCAATGACAGGTTTCAGTTCCACCCAAAGGAAGAAATAGTCTTCACATGTTATTAACAGATGATGCTGTTTGTTTGAAGTACGATGTCTCATTACATCGACATTAGTTGGGTTCTCATACTTGCATTGTATAACAAGCATCTGTCTGTGTACATGTAGACACTCAAGTAACTGCTTGAAATATTCTGACAACAATGTTGACGACAACAACCCCCTTTCCCCCGTCCCTGTTTTCTAAGTATTAATTACTTACCGATCATTTCTTTCTGCCAACGATATTTAGCTCTGTGTATCTGAGCGACTAGGCCACTAAACATGGAGCAATAAAAAGGCCTCCCCTGGGAGTACTGGCCTGGTATATACCCATATAAGTATAGTAATAATGTAGGCTATACTTGATGAGAAATTAATTTGTATCGGGACGAGGCCATGAGGATGATAATCAGTAGGTAATGTTATGCCAACAATTAATTTCATTATAGAAATTACCCATTAGTCAGTAAATATTGATGAAGCCGTCAACAATTTTCACATGTGAATAAGCCATTCTTCCTACATATACACATAACTTAGACATTACACCTACATACCTGTAATATTTAATTAACCATTAACTACAGTTGTATCTCAATGTCAGTGACATTTATATCCTATACAGGTCTTCGTGAAAACAACAGCAAAGTAACGACAGCACTTCATCTTTATTCCACTAAAACCTACGTCATCACAGAACAAAAGCAAACTAACTTGGTCTTTATTTTACTATAGTATTTGTAACTGTCCTCGCATCAAAATTCAATTGTGGACCAAGCTATATTTGTACCTGGCCTTTTTTTAATGCCCAGTATAAGTAATTGAACGCTATTTATTTCCAGCACTTCTGTGTCCCGTGAGATGAATGGCTTCAATAAACGGCATTGTTAGTTTAGTTCTGGTGCATTGATTGACACGTCAAACTAAAGCCTGATCGGCCATGCATGTAATGATTCTGTCTATTTATATCTATCTAAAGGATGAACTTTGTTTAACAATATGGAAAAATTACCATTACATCAGAGAGATGTCCCACAGGACAGCTTAAGTTAGCGTACGTTTATTACTATAATTGTCAAACGTGACTGCATGGCCAGGATTGCTCATGTTCTGACCATCAAAACAGATCTGTTCCATCTCCAAACTTGCGGGGGCTTCATTAACTCAAAGAATATTAAAAAAAAAAGAAGGTTTACTTGATTACTTTAAATAAACATCAGTGAAGTCGGGTTTGGTTAGCAATCATTATAAACTTTACACTCGTAGATAATAGATATCAATGTCACTCTATACCAATGTTTTCTGTACACATAATGGGCGTTCTATTTAAACGTTTCACTACATACTGTATGTGACCTATTGTGTCACCATGGCCAGCTTCTATACAAATTTTCTAATCAGTTGTAATTTGTTTAATGGGGGATATAGCGTCATTTGTCGAACAAATGATGTTGGTTTTGTATTTCTAGTCAAGGTTAATTAAGGATGGACCAAACAAGTGCTGAAGTGGTGAAGTACAATAGTATCGGTTCCTGGAAATGTTTTTCAAGTTTTATTTACCATTAAAAAAGTCACTATGTGTAGAACAATAACACTTCTCTGGGTAAGTATAAGCGACGCTTACATGAATGGGTCGACAAGACTTTGGTGAGAAGGTCACAAAACCTAGCAGAACATTACATCTGTAGCACTTTATCCTGTACATCACAGTGATGCATACTTTATGTTCTGGTTTTATTGTGAGGCTGCACGTGCATGCACTGTGTATACTTTCACCTGCCATTATCTTACCTCCGTGTTAATAGTTTACCGTATTTATTCACATCACTCCAACCTTCCTGAAATCAATTGTAAGAATTTCATACAACACTTGAGTGCGAACTATACACTAATACACTGACAGGCCAGCAGTTACAAGGACCCCGCCATGTTTCTGACCATACTTCCCATTTGTTTTTGGTTTGTTTGTGTTTTACGTCCTAATTAACAGCTATGGTCTTTAAAGGACGTGCCAGGTTTTGGTAGTGGAGGAAAGCCGGAGTTCCCGTGGAAAAAACCAACAACCTGCGGCCAGTACCATGCGACTGCCCCACGTAGGTCTCGAACCCACGACCTAGTGGTGGGGGCCTAGTGGAAGCAGAACATCCCCCATGTGTCTGACTATACTCTCCCATGGCCTATTTTGAAACGACCAATCGATTAATTCACTTTATTGCCAAATACTTGTAGCATCTTACTCAAAGTGTCATGAAACTGAACTAACATTGAAAAATAAATCCAATTTTCACTTAAGTTATGTAATATTGAGACAGACTGTATTGATCGCACCTGACAGTCCGGATCAATGGTCTACGGAGAGACTATATTCTATGTAACCAGGGGTCACAACGTTTGGATCAATATTCCTCGACAAAATGTATTTAAGATTCTCTGGGGACGATTCACCACGGTATTCCCATTACATCATAAAAGACTCTTAACTCAATACAACAACATAATAACGAGAATGGTTCATCTGATCCAGGAAAAAATGATCGCCCGGCCGCCATCATCAATATACAATAACTCTCTGACCACAACCATGTAGGGAATCCTGAAAGGATTTTTGTCTATCAATAAAGTACTGTAACGCTTACTCAGCAATTTTTTCTTTGGCAGTAAACAATATCTCCCATTAATGTTCATTACTACTGAGCTAAACTTATATGTCCTGGCTGATACTCTCGGAATCGAATGACGCAGTCAATCAAAACACTGAGAATTTATAAATTTGTATATTAAATGGAACAATTCGTTAGAGTATTTATGGAATGAAAAAGAATTCAATGAGACATTTTTGTTTTATTATTTTTTTATCTATTTTTTAAACGATTTATTTTGGTCCTAAATAGTAATTTGAACGATGAAAATGAAATCCTTAACTGACATAAGAAATCAGAATATTTAGGCCCCAGCAGGGCCATCATATATACATACATGACACTGAAGGTGACGTAACAATCAGCTACTTTTTTCCAAATTTTGAAATCTATCTGCTCCATTTATACCCAGCATTAACAGGGGTGTCAAATGTCATACCCTAATTTGGAGACATTTCTATGAATAGGGTGTGACCTTATGGTTCAGCCAACAGATTAACTTTGACTGTATTCTTGTAGCAGTTGCAAGGGACCTTTGTACCAAAAATACTGGTGTGGGGGCAGCATCATCAATCCTTATGATAATGATTCGAACTTTACACCTCCCCGGGGTCTGAAGGACAATCCGATACCCTCCTACACCAGCACACAGATTAAAACAAATCAAATCCCTTCAACTCACAGTAACAAGCTTCAATTTCTTTTTAATTTTATTTTGCCATTTTTAATTCATGTATAATTATAATAGTTTAACATTGTTTTTACCTTACATTGACTAAGATAATTTCCATATAAGAGTTAAGGTTAACTAACAAGGACTTTATCTTCTTTCCAGTTGAGTAACACTAGAAACTTGTTTTGTACATATTATCAATTAATATTCAAGATTAAAAACACATTAAATATGAAAGGTAACAATTAAGGCTGAATGCTTTCGATATCAGATCAGGTAATCAGAAAATATTTAATTCATCTTAAACAAAATTAAGGGACTTAACTCTTACACAGATAATGGGTAAAGTGTGTAAGATAGCATACAGTATTTGTATATATTACCTTGAATACAAAGATTTCATATGCAGATGCCTGTAATACTTCATATATCAAGAACAACAAAATGCCTCAAATTTTCATTTTGACGGCAAAATTGTAATTTCAATCACTAACAACTATTAGTTATTATTGTCTGTATTTTTAATTATTGTCTGATAATCTGCAGATTTTTCCTGAATTTCTGCAAAAGACCAACACAACCATTACCACATGTACAGTGTCATTACTGAGATCATTCTACATGGTGAGAAATTAAATCTTTTACATTTTGTATTTCAACAAAGAAATTGCATCTACAAGAAACAGAATCGTGATATTCTAATTTGTATTGATAGTTATATACATGTATTAACAAATGCACTTCAATCTTGTCGACCTGGGTTTTTCCTGAACCTGAAGGTCAAATTTAGGAACAGGATATTATGAATTTTATACACTTTTAAGGACGCGTTTCCCTTGGTTTTACCCTCGATACATGTATATTTTCTGTCTTATAGAAAAGTGACAGGGGACCTTAGACCCTGCATGAGTTCGATCAAAATGCTAAGGAAGACCGCAATGACCTCAG